AGAAGGTGCCGACATTAGTACCAGGTGCCCAACGAAGATCGTGGAAGTTGTCCAGGAGAGCGTCTGCAGGACGTCGAGCCAGCATCTGGGACATGATGCGGCTGTCCTCCTCGAAGGTCACCTTGGGAGCGTACTGATCCCACATCTCGTAGTACTCGTCAGTGAGGTACATACCAAGGCGGGCCGCCTTAGTACCAGAGCTCCAACCGGCGGCGTTGGCAGTGTTCTCGTACCGACGTAACCAAGCACTAAAGTCAGTCGTACCGTTATACCGTTCGGGCATCTGCAAGCTGATGCGAACCTCCTCCTTACGACTACCGTTGCCGATAGCCATAGTGGCGGCCGCAGAGCCAGCTTCAGCCCTCACAGACAGAAGGTCACAGAGATCGTTGTAGTCTTTGGCGTGCTCCAGGGCCAGTCGAGTATGGAGGGCTGCTGCCTCGGCGCCCATTTGGGCCTCCTCAGCGTCAGCCTTCGCCGTTTCCTCGACTATGGCCAGATCCTTCTTGTGGAAGTTACCAGTGCTAGAAGCAGACATAGAGAACAGAGTACCAAGGCAGGAAGAGGTCGGTCTTGACAACAGAACCAGATAACCAGGCTTGGGAAAGAGGTCGTCGAAGTGATAGCAAACAAGGAGCTGCTACCAGAAATGTAGGTCTACGCGTTGCAGAGCTACAAGTGACCAAGATCGTTGCTGATACTTCGGCGAACTTCAAGAACACAAGGCTTGTTTTCAGTCAAAGGTCGACTAGAGCAGCCAAGGATCAAGCCAGAGTGAATCCAGATCGGACTAAGTCGTAACGACACGTTAGCGACTCGTTAGCGAGTTCCAAGGTCGTGACACGCAGAAGGTGACGTGACACCTGGATCGATTATCCAATCGACACGGCTATAGGCGAGCCAACCAAGGCCTAGTTTAAGGAATGTCAAGCGACCAAGAAAGCAAGTGTTCCAAAGGTCTACACAACCTAAGGTCTACAATGCCGACCCTGCACGGATGTGCATACGTGCAGCACAATGTACTGCAGCATGCATGTCAGCTTGAATCTCCTTACCCTCCACCATTGCGATCGAGTTCGTGAGGGCACATCTTATCGGATGATGGATAGGAAACATAGTGAGCAAGTGGGGTTCCAGTTCTGCTCATATCTCTCATAGCTTACCACAGGAGTCGTCGCTGTGATTCGAATGAGCAGGATGAGCTGATGATGCCGATTGCGAGCTAGAGTTGAATTGCCTTGGGTTAATGTCACTTCATCATTCTCAAATATGCAACGCCATCTGATCGTCACGGTGTGATCTTAGCTTAAGATTGTACACACTGAGTTTGCTGACAAGATACAAGATGCTCCGAAGAGCATTAAGGCGTATAGAGAGTCGGGTCGTGAAAAGAGTAACATACCAGGGGAAAGTGAGCACCCGGCTTATGCAATGGCCACTAGATTAGCTCGTCTCTTGTAAAGGTTCACTTTTGGACCATGCGAATTCATTCACAAGAGAAGCACAAGTGTCAGGCGTTCGTAGTCCTCAGTTCTTGCACATGCTCCTGTCCGAGAGGCTCCACTGACAAAGTACTTGCTTGCCCATTGATAATTACTTTTGCGATAACAGATGGCAGGCTCCTGGGCTCGGCGATAGCTTCCCAGTACTTTGTATACATGAACTGGCTGTCCGCATAGTTACTAGCCTACCGGAGGCATCGGACTACA